TGGTCCTGAAGAACTGACAACAAGAAATAGGATAATGTAATAATTCAAGCCTTTGTATAACAACAGAAAATTTCCTTAGTTGAAAAACAGTATTCAGATAACGAAAAACATTTTCAGATATATACCCATGACCACCTAAAAAAGCAAAACAAGATACACCCTAGTTAACAGAGGGGTAAATCAAAACAAAGAACTCAGGAATATTTGTCAGATAAAAAAAAAAAGACACACCTAGGCAAATCATCGTCAAATGGCTAAAAAACCAAAGATAACGTGAAATCTTAAAAGCACCAGCAAAAAAGGATCTATTACTTTCAAAGAAGCAATTAAGTAGACTTTTCAACAGAAATAATGGAAGCTAAAAGGAATAGAATTACATTCACATGGTGGATGAAAGTAACTGCTAACCTAGAGTTCTCCACTCAGAAAAATATTTTTCAAAAATTAAGGCAAGCCAGATGCCACAGCACACGCCTGTGGCCCCAGCTACTCAGGAAACTCCGGTGGGAGGCCCGCTCGAGCCCGGGAGTGCGAGGCTGTGGCACGGCCTGACTGTGCCTGTGAATAGCCACTGCACTCCCACCTGGGCAAAGGGAGCGCAGAGTAAGATGTTTTAGACAAAAGGAAAAAAAAAGTTGAGAATCTGGTTAGTATCATATCTGTTCTAAAAGAAACACGAAAGGGAATTCTTCAGGCTGACAGAAGTAATTTCAGATAAAAGCATGGTAATACAGAAAAAACGAAGAGGCCCACACCACAAAGGGCAAATATACAGGAAAATCTAAATGATTACTGACTTTTAAAACAGCAATAATAATGTTTGCGGGCTTTAAAACGTGAAGATTTAAAATACATGAAATAGTGGCATCAAAGGCTGGAGAAGGTTAAATGTAGTTTAAAGTATCAATAGGTCCTTAATTTTCTTTTCTTTCTTGCTTTCTTTCTTTTTTAATAGAGGAAGGGTCTTGTTCTGTGGTCCAGCCTGGACAGGCTGGAGTGCAGTGGCCCAATCATAGCTCACCATAACCTCAAACTCCTAGACTCAGGTGATCCTCCCACCTCAGCCTCCGAAAGTGCTAGGACTGAGCATGAGCCACTGTGCCTGGTCTAAAAATTTTAATGTTTAAGATTTAATTTAAAAATCCAACAAGGAAGTATTCTTATAGTATCAAAGGTAATCCACTAAAAGAATAATAAAAGAATGTTTATGAAGCAAATAGAGGGGGGAAATAGAATAATCAAAATAACTTGATTTCTCCAAAAGGCAAGAAAGAAAAAAAAAGGATGAGACAAACGGCAAACAAATAGCAAAATGGTAAATATAAGTCCAAATATACCAGTAATTATAGTAAATGTAAGAGAACCAAATATTCAAAATAAAAGGCAAAGTGTGTTAGACTCAATTTTTAAAAATGCAGCTTACAAGAGACATACCAGAAATACACAGAAAATAAAAGGCTGAAAGTAAAAGGATGGGAAAACATATAGAATA